TGAAATAGTGAGTATGAGAACGAGGAACGAGAGGAGAAAGCAGGAGCACATGTGCAAAGAATGTGAAATAGTATGAAAAAGGACAAGAGGACACATGCAAAGAATGTGAAATAGTATGAGAACGAGGAACGAGAGGAGAAAGCAGGAGCACATGTGCAAAGAATGTGAAATAGTATGAAAAAGGACGAGAGGACACATGCAAAGAATGTGAAATAGTGAGTATGAGAGGAGAAAGCAGAAGAGGCACACGTGCAAAAAGAGTGTGACAGTGTGAGAAAGAAGGACTGTAAGGAAAAGGGGCATGAGTGAGTATGAGAAAGAAGGATGAGCGGCAGAAGGGGCACATGTGCAAAGAGTGAAATAGTGAGTAAGGAAAAAGATGGAAGAGAGGAGGAAGCCAAAATGCAGCATACATACAAAAAGTGTAAAAAAAAAAAAAAAGTGACGAGCGTGACAAGGAAGAGAGGCGCAAACAACTGTGACACGTGCAAAGAGTATGAAATGGTGAATATGAGAAAGAAGGAAGAGAGGAGGAAGTCAAGATGTGTGCAAAGAGTGCCAAATGGTGAATCGATTGTTGATTGCCCTGTGCGTTTAAATGTGGACGGGGAGTAGTGAACCACTAAACACAGTGTGAGAACACCACTTTAGCAAACTGCCACACTGGTACATTTTACAGTGCATCAGTATTTATTCTTGTTGGCAAAAAGAACGACTTGAATAAAACTGTAGTTTTTGCAGTTTTATCTTAAAACCTTAACAATCCCAGCGTTCATTGCATAAAGAAGCCGTTCCCCAGTCAGTTACCTAAATCCTTTTATCTGTCCATAACAAATCCTGAATGATGCTGAGAACTTCAGGTTCCCTCCTGGAATGCAGTGATGGGGTTACCTGTCAGATGAGTCGTGATCTCCATCTTGAATTCATGAATGGACGTGCTCAGAAAGTGCAGTAACGCGTTACCATTGCCACAGTATTATGCAGACCTGCCGGAGGAGGAGAGGCAGAAGAAGCTGTCGGCCTGCTCCCGGCACCGTTTCCGGTACATCCCCCCCTCTACACCAGAGAATTTCTGGGAGGTGGGCTTCCCTTCGACACAAACCTGCGTTGAGCGAGGTATTTGACCAACATACTCATTCAGCATCTTTCTCTGTCGGAGTCCATTTTAATTGCAATTTTTAAAATACATGGGTAGGACAAATTTGTAACCCATCTCTAAGTAAACTAGAAATGCTCAATGGATATTTGGTTGTTTTCTGAGAGGAACTACCGTCTTATCCACTGAGTGAATTCCAAATGGTAAGAACAATGACAATGAGTTTAAAGACTGAGTTTGAAAAGCAATAAACCCTGTGTGATACATCAGTAAAAGGAGAAATAGCTAAATGTGTGTCACAGAAAGAACATCTTCATTAGTTAGGAGCCAGGTTTTTAGAGTAGTGATACTGTATTCACTGTATGATACTGTATTCACCGCTATGGGGAAACCGGGTAGTTTTCACATCTCATCTGGCTCTCCATGAGACGCAGTACTGTGCAAAAGTCTTAGGCAGTTAAGGAATGCTTCACCAGAATAATCTGGGAAGTAAGTGTATAATTTCTCAGGGAAAAAAAACACTTCAACATTAGAAAATATGCAAATTACCAGTAACATAATAAAAACTAACAAGAATTTCTTCTTTTCTCCAAAAAAGTTACTGATATCCAGTTGGATGGCTTGATGGAACACTGCTTCAGTTCCTGAACCTCTCCTCAGAGACACCTCAGTCATTCCATGCATTTGTTCAATTTTACCCCTAATTAATTTAAATAGCTAAATAACATGAGGTATTGATTAGCCAAACAACGTATGCTAATGCTGGAGTGGGTGTGCTGCTGGGTGTATTGGATGGTTTTCAAATTGCTAAGCTAACAAACATAAAGTCGTAGTCTTTGCTGACTTTTGCCCAGTACTGTATATAACTGGTGAGAGCAAGTTTTGGGATCACAGTGCAGGCTCAGCCAGCATGCAGGACCCCTGAAGCAAGTCCGTTTAAAGCCTTCCTCAGTGACATCACTTCACCGCCTACAGCAGGGGTGTCAGACTGCAGTCCTGGGGGGCCGGAGCCCTGCACATTTTTGGGTTTCCTCTCATTTAACACACCTGATTCAACTCCTTGTGCTGATTACCACACAGCTCTTGAGCTGAATCATTTGTGGTGGAACAGGGAAAGAACTAAGCTACACAGGGCTCCGGCCCTCCAGGACTGCAGTTTGACACCCCTGACCTACAGGATTTGAACCGACAACCTTCCGTTAATGAGCACAGAGTCCTGACACACAGAGCCACACGCCCCCTTATACATTACGTGTTTGACACTCTAGAATGATGGATCCCTTTTTATTCTTCAGGGTATATCAGAGAAGACAATGAGCCGGAGCAGCGAATGAGAAGGAGACGACCATACAATGCAACCTTCTCCCCCAAAGGAAATAAGCAGGAGACGTAGCTGTCAGCAGGCGGACAAAACCCGAAAGCACATCGCTTGTGGTAGTGAAACCCGGGGCGCTGAACCAAACCACTGAAGTTTAGACTGGATACACATTCTGCTACCTTCATTTCAGACTTGCGGTGGTGTACAACGAAAAATAAGACTTGCACTCTGTGAGAGCGAATGGATACAGTGAATCATTTCAAAACAAGATGGCAGTATTACTTTGTGGGCCATGCTTTGCATTAAGATTGGTGTCTTTAAAACTCTTGATTGAAAATTCAACAAACGTTGCTCCGGTAGAGCAGTGCAAATGACAGTGACTGTATGCCAGAAAAGTCTATCAGTGTCCTCATGTTTTTACTTTCCAGTATGTGTCCCTGCTTTTTGACTGTAATTGCTGATTTGTTTTATGTGTCAGTTCACGTAAAACTGTAGATAAACAGTAGATTACCATTTAAGAATTTTGAAATAAAAGAATCACAATACCAATTTCATTTGAAGTCGGACTCTGTGACCAGGCTGGTGTGTGTCGCTGAAAGAAGTGTCCACGTATTGACCTTTCGCCCCAGATCCAGTGCCACTTCAGTTTTGTTATGATTTAATCTGGATACATTTTATTTTAAATCAATATTTTAAGAAATTAAATGAGAATTATTTGTAAGCAGAGTTTAGCAGACAGGATTATTCAAACGTCATTTGAAAATGTTGTTTACTGTATGTGCATGCACATTTATATATTTGTCGTGTATTACTACTGAACAGTATGATTATTTTATATTTGTATAAACAAAGGACAAAGGGAAGTCAAGTTTCCCTTTGGGACTGCAACATGAAGAGGTCGAAGAGTGTAAATGCAGAGTTACAATGTACATCACTACATCTTTGGATGGCCAAATTATAGAGGATGAAATATTCAGACCAGAATCCGATAAGGTACCCAGGGGTCCGTGTAAGGTCTTCCTGCTGGAGTCCCGGAGGGCCAGCCTACGCCTGCGTCTGTATAACTACTCCCTGAAATCCCAGTTAAAGGCTGCTTATTGTGTAACTGGGCTAAAGGTCATCATCTTCTCACTGTGGCATTAAGTATTATAAATATTACATTCCAGAGTACTGAAAAGGATTTTACTCGTTCCATCAGCTCTAATGGTTTTAATAGTTTGGTTTATAATTCATTTGGAATTTCCTTCATTAATATTTGCCGTAAATTGCAATGGACCAGTGAAACTAACTCCCTATGTTTACAGCTCTGTAATCTCATATTTAGTGCTTCTGGGCTGAAAACTTGACCATTTAAGGCAGGGGTGGCCAATCTTATCTGCAAAGGGCCGGTGTGTATGCGGGTTTTCGCTGCAACTCCCTAATTAGATTACTAATTAGAGGACTGATTGGATGAAGAGTCCTCACACCTGGGTTTGAACCGCTGACCTACAGGTTATCCCAAAAACCTGCATACACACCGGCCCTTTGTGGTCTCCCCTGATTTAAGACCACATCTACTATAATGCAAAAGAATCAGTACACCAATTTATGTTCCAAAGCTAAGATTAATTTGGCTAAAAGGCATAATATAAACCACAGAGAGAAATTCAGAACATCAAGGTGTCCATTTGCTGGTTACAGTCCACTATTGAGAAATCCGATTAAGCTTTCTACTCAGGTGCCTGAAACCTGGAAAAAAGTAGGACATATATCACTGGGAGGCAATACATGACTACTGGGATAAACTAATTGGATGCGGGAAAGGTTACCATGGAAATAACTTGATTGATCACATCCTTTTTTTTTCCAAGGCTAAAAAGGCTTCAAAATATTTTTGTGCAGGTTTATCAGTTTGGAAGTTGGGGTCTTTTTACAGTAAATAATAAACACCAAATACAGGTCTCTGTGAAACTATTAAAAATACAATTTTAACTACTGTATTTACTGGCATTATCTGTTAAAATGTCTTCAGCATTTCAGTCTGTATCCTATTCAGAGCCTGGATTTTTTCCTTCGGTTTCTAACCTCTCCCTGACCTCGACATTGCATGGTCTGTCAAGCTATAGTTCAGTAGATCTCCTCAAGGTGTGTCTGTAGCTCTGTCGGAATAAGTTTATAAGCAGAGCAGGACTATGCTTAGTGACAGTTATTAAATAAAGCATAATTGCGAAAGATTCATTGCTGATTGTTAAACACGTGTCAGGATTAAAACTTATTTGTGCTTTCAATGAATTTTCCTCAACTTTTTTTTTTAGTTTTTCCCATGTCAATTACAACAGTAGACGGACTTGCATCGAGGGAAAAAAAACACAGCGATTAAATTTTATATAGCTGTTGCGGTGACGAGTGCATAGGTTTCTGAGAGAACCCTGAACCGTATTTGTGGAAAGGAAAATTTTCATTTTAAAAAGCAAAGAATAAATACTTGAATGTGATAAACAGGATAAATTCCAGCCCCAGCTGAACTGCAGCGTACTTCACGTAGCTGATTTGCATAAAACAAAATCAAGTAGCAGGTGACACAGTAACCTCACACTTCCTTTCACATCCCACCCCTGGCTACACAGTAACCTCACACTTCCTTTCACATCCCACCCCTGGCTACACAGTAACCTCACACTTCCTTTCACATCCCACCCCTGGCTCTATGCAGTAACCTCA